TACAGCAGAGGCCCTGGGTTCAGATCCAGTTCCTGACAGGCCCCCACAGCTAACCTTGAATACCTATGGGGGGATCATGACTTTGTATCATAAAGGGCCTTCCCGTATATCGTGCTTTCGGCCTTCGTAACAGGGCGAAAAATCAAAGAACATCCAAAAAGTCCATGCCCACACGACATCTCTGATGTGAAAGGCGCTCGGATGTATGCAGGGGCCAGTCTTGCGTTGCTTTTCCAGGTTATATGATCCCTTTTGGTGTTCAAAACGTAAAAAAAAAAAAAAAATTGCCTTGTTTCAAAAACTTTCACGACAAAGCTCAGTGAATTGCCAAGTTGACAACCCATTTTGTGAAGGATCTTTCCGGGAAGAAGAGGAGGAGGAACGTTGAAACGAGTGACGAGTCCTTCTCGCGGGGCGTTTACCAGCAATTGACTATCCTTTGTCGGCCTTGTAAATAGATCGGCGGTGTGTGCGGACTTGGAACTGTACAGTTGTTTCTTGAAGACCTCACCTTGAGTTGTCGTCCTTCACCTCCATTCTCTGAACGTTAGCAATGGCAGTGCGTGAGCTGATGATGACTGACCCTTATGGGGGAATATCAAAACGTAATCTAGACAACAGACTAGAACAAGTAGCTCGAAGGAGAGCAAAAAAAATAAATAAACCCCACACACAACCACCATCGGCTTGTCATGGACTACATTGTGACAATCAGTTTGTGTGCCGTGTATACGTCACCTGTCATCAATTGCCAAATATTTTTTATACTTTCTTTTATTGTCTTAACAGCTGTACCAATTTGTCCTTCAATAACTTATGATGCAATAGTCGTAGCTGTGTTTTTAGGGTATGATAATACAACAAAAGAGGCCGGGGGAAAGTACGTCGCTTGGGGGCGGTTGGACCCACCTTTGGCAAAAACTCAGAACCCCAAAATTGTGTAGGGTGACCCATCAACAAGGCCCTAAGGCTTTGCTGATGTCAACCGGACCAACCAGCTATTCCCGGAAACCAAATTCAACCGAAGTGGCCATTTTTGTTCACGAGTATGGAGTTTGGGGCTTCACTAGGAAACCGTAACTACGGCAGAACTTAAAATGCCGATTCTTTATATAGACCACAATAGAATTCTAAAGAGCACCAGTCATACCTAAGAATATGTGTATCTAAGTGTAGCAAAACTGATCTGATGGTTGCAACTTAATTTAAAGCCCAATTGGAACCAAAAGTGTTTTTGGGGATTATAATTTGAATGTTGCTTATGTACCCCATTGAGGACATCGGTCTGCCAGATTTTATTGGCTGTCTGTGTCTCCATTTCTCTTCTCTTCATGCTGTGTCTAGGAAGTTAGAGGAATCCCTCTCATTTGACATAGTAACAAACCGATGTTCTACACCTTCAGTAGTTGTCTTCTTGCCTATAGGGATCCCACTATTTCCTGTTATGTCTTACTGACATTGAAGCGACGGGGCAATTCTCCTCACTTTATAGTCCCTTAGACCTTTTAAATAGAACCCGAGGAGAAATCTTCTAACTTGACATAAAGAACAATAAATGGTGGAGAGGTTCTAACCTTCCCATACTCCATAATCTAAAGGTTTGGGGTTGGGTGAGGTTAGAACTCACACTCATGACCTTGTCTGAAGGTTCCTACACTTACTTTCTCCAACCACAGTTGCGTATAGAGCCATTTACTTTATGATGAACCCGAGTGACGGAGCTGGTTGACACTTTGGTGGCCACTTGGATGCTCTTGTGTTCTCCATGAATGGATGGGCACTTCAAAAAGTTAGGTCAGGTCTTCTTAAACACAGTTGTGTTCACAATTGGGGGTAGCATCCACAGACAAGAACATAAGAACCTTAAAGCCGTCTATAAACATGATCTCAGTCATAAGTCCAACTCTGAGTTCCTGGCTCCTGAACTGGCCAATTCCATCCATCCATAGCTGCCTTGGAATGAGTCATGCCAAGACCACAGCAGTTAAATAGAACCTGTGAAGAAACCTGCACAATGGAGATGAAAACAATAAATGGTTGAGAGGTCCTGACCTTTCCATACTCCATGATCCATGGTTTGGCGTTAGGTGAGGTTAGAACCCGTACTCAAGACCTTGTCAATGTCTGAAGGTTCCTACACTTACTGTGTCCAACCACAGTTGCGTATAGAGCCATTCCCTTTATGATGAACCCGAGTGACGGAGCTGATTGACACTTTGGTGGCCACTTGGATGTTCTCCATGAACACTTCTTGTGCTGATGGACACTTAGGACAGGTGTCCTCAAGTACAGATGTTCACATAGGGGGTAGCAGTCCCAGGAAAAGCACCTTAAAAATAATCTCAGTCGTGAGTCCAACTCTTAGTGCTAGAACCCAACTTTTTGGCTCCTAAAGTGAACCGGCCAGTTCCATCCATCCACAGCGGCCTTGGAATGAGTCGTGACAAGACCACAGCAGCCCGGCCAACCTCTTCCCGATGGGCAATCCCTTCCGAGTGACGTACTTCCCCCCCCCCCCCTCTCCTATCTAATAATT